ATTACATAACAAACTGAATTTAATTTATTCAGCAAATAATGAATATGTTCCATCAATCAACCAATCAAGATAATCTTTAATTTATAAACCTAAGAATTTAGTGCTTCTTATGCCTAGTGGCATTTCACCTATAGTTTTTAGTTAGTTAGTTAGTTCTAAAAATGATTAAATTTGTTTTTTCTTTGTTTAATATCAATTTATTTCCTAGAAACATGTCATTAGCCCTTATAAAAATATCCTTTATCAGTAACCTCGGTAAAATTATTTATTATTTAATTTAATTTGCATGGTATACATTGCATTTCTGATGTTTCTAATAGAATGTCTAATAGAATCATCGCTAGTAAAAAACGGATCTATTATCGCTTGTTCAAATCTTCGACATTTTCTTATATTCCTGACGATGTCAAAGAGTATTTTTACGTCAAATCCACCAACAAAAATAGTTTCTTCCAATAACATGAAAAAACGACAGGCACGGCAACGCCGCGCGTTCACATCTCGGACACAACGTCGTTCCGCATTTAATTGCCCGTTTTAATGTCTATCGGCGCACGAAACGTCGCGAAAAACCGTCATTATAATAGCTTTTAACAAATAAAATTCCTCGCCGGCTCTTTCCGATCCGCCCCGTACGATTAACGACCTTATGACCTTCAACTTTTAATGACCCCACGGTTTCGAAGCCCGCGGGTCTCCTCAATATCGGCGCAATTAGGAAATTTTCTCCCCCCGAGTCAATCCTATAATCATCGCGACAGCCGCTATTTGTTTAACACTGGGACACCGGTGACATTTACATTAAAAAAAAATAAGAGGAAAGTATGTAGGTTTGGACAGTCACGTGCAACTTACAATTCGACTGCCCAAGAATTACAAAAATTTTGGTAGTCGTTTAACGCAGGTTTCACTGCCAGCGCAGTGTACCGGAAGGGTCACTTAAATTAGATTTAATGTTTATTTGTGTGCGTGTTGGCCTAACGGTAGGTCGGATTTGGTGGCCCGTGACGTTTTAAAAGCGATTTAAACAGTAGCGTCGTCCAAGGCGGATAAAACGTATTATTGTTGTTTTTAATATAAAAAAATAGAAATAAAAATGTAAGTGCACAATTACGTAAGAAAATTGAAGAAAACAAAAAGTGCTTTTCTTCATTTTTTATTCGTCTCTGAAGAAGTTTGAAAAACCAAAAAAAAACAATTATTATTATTAGTGTTATTATCATAAAAACTAACCAAACTTCAATTCAAAATAGAAATCAAAATATAAATTAGCAATTAAATAAGAAAATTGAAGAAAACAAAAAGAGCTCTTCTTCGTTTTTTATTCGTGTCTGAACAAGTTTGAAAAACAAATGCGATCCTATATTCAAAGGATCACTTCTTAAAATTTGGTAGCACACTTAAGAAACACCTGAACTGGATTTGGTGCACCGCGATATTTTAAAAGTGTATTATTATTATTATTATTATCATTGCTATTCTAACAAAAAGTAACCAAACTTCAATTGAAAATAGAAACAAAAATATAAGTGTACAATTACATAAGAAAATTAAAGAAAACAAAAAGAGCTTTTCTTCGTTTTTTATTCATGTCTGATGAAGTTTGAAAAACAAAAAAAAAACAATTATTATAATTATTATTATTGTTGTTATTATTATAAAAACTAACCAAACGTCAATTCAAAATAGAAATAAAAATATAAATGCACAATTAAATAAGTAAATTGAAGAAAACAAAAAGTGCTCTTGTTCGTTTTTTACACGTGTCTGAACAAGTTTGAAAAACAAATGCGATCCTATATTCAAAGGATCACTTCTTAAAGTTTAGTAGCGCACTTAAGAAACACCTGCACAGGATTTGGGCCCCGTGATATTTTAACAGTGGTTTTAATCAGTAGCGTCGTCCAATGCACATAAAACGTATTGTTGTAATTATTGCAAAAGAGTAAAACTTCGATTGAAAACCGAAGTAAAAATAAAATTCCACAATTAAACAAGAAAATTGCACGTAATTCAACAAAAAGAGCTTTTCTTCATTTTTTATCCTTGTTTTTTCGTGTCTTGTAGAGGTATTAAATGTTATAATTTGGTTTCAAAGAGGGGGATATGCAGATCAAGGAAAAATGAAGAAACATACGAAGTGACGCACTTTTTCTAGAAATTTTCAAAAAAAAATCGAGCAAACTTGATTTTGTTCACATATTTCTAAACCTAATTCTTTTTAGAAGACCGTAATTGAAATAAATAAGAATGACACTTAGGTAGACTTGACTAAATACTTTAACAAAGTGTTTTTCTTTAAATTTCTATACACTGTGACCATAAATAACGTTGGAATAATTTAAGAAATGATTCATGAAAAAATAAGATTTTTTTTCTTATTAAAATGGAAATGCATGATTTTTAAGATAGAGAGTGTGAAACTATTAAAAATCTTCCTTGCTTGTAGAAAAAAAGCAAATTTATTGCAGTAACGCAAATAATTCAATGAATCGTGAATGGGCCTCTAGTCAGAATAAACAACACTGCCAAATATCAACTAAATCGCTTAATGGATATTTAAAATTTGTATTAAAACCCCTTTTTTTAAAGATCGACACTCTGTATCTTGTACACTATGCATTTTTGGACCTACGTTCATATGAAAAAATTTTCTTAAATTTCCGGACGGATAAAAATCATGAAAGTTAATACAAAATTAATACGGTATTAGCATTTTAATACTAAATAAAGTTATGTTAATTTTATTGATATTCAATGACAAAGAAATACATTAACAAAAAAAATTAATAATAAAATGTTCCTATATGATGCGGAATTTAGTCGTGATAATTATAACGAACCACTTTACACAAGGCACAAACTATAAAGAAATAGACACTAAATAAATAAGTATTTAATTTTTTTTTTTGAAATTCAACTAATGATAGCTTGAAAAAATTAATTTAATCACTTAATTGTCAGTTAGTAGTCACACCATTCGGTATTGTACTTTGTGAAAAAGAGAAGAAGAAAAGGTTTATGTGTTCAATGGCCGAATGATCTTTGCAATCTTCTCCAACAGAAATAAAAGAAGAAGAAAATCGCGTCGCCCGCGGCGTACCAACTTCGCTTTATCGGCGGTGCCACTGAAACTCGGTTGATAATTATTCAAAGACCCCGCGTGACTTTAACTGCCGTGCAAAATTGCAAATTAACCTGCCGACCACGCGCTTCGTGGGTGTTTCCTCGCGAATGGCTGTCGCGAACGGCCGTAATGATCGAGGAAAAGTCCGATTGACTTTTTCCGTCCTCCGATACGCGTCAGGTTGTCCGTTATCTCGCCGCAGCTCAATCGATAACTCGAGATCTAATCCTTATATTTGCATAAAAGAATATTAGAAAGCGCAAAGCTACGTATGAAAAGATAGGACGCCTAAAGACGCTCTTAAATGTATCGGTATCGGCAACTGACGTTACATCCGACACCCACTGATGTTACAAGGTTTCAAAAAAAAAATCTTTATAGTAAACATCTCACTAGTCTAATGGTAGATTTTTCTTAGTAGATTATGATTTTGATAGGTGTTCCAGGAGGATGATTTTGCACTAGACTCATAAAACGACATAAATAGTTCTCTTGCTGAAATATTGATTTAGGTAGCGAATGAAAGAGTTTTAAAAAAATATATTTTTATGTGCTACTGTCACCGGTAGAATTCGCTCAAATTGAAAATTCAATCCAATCCACAAATCTGGCGCAAAGTCAACTTGCACCATAATTTATAGTTTTGACAAAAAAACGCACGCTACTGACATTTAAAAAATGTCAAGTTTCACGTCGTATTTATAAAAACATCCACTATAAATCACCTTGTGATTTTTAAAACAAATAATATTAAGAACTTCTACGTATTTGTTTCTGTATTATACGTCGTTGTTTCTTATTTTTTGTACTTGTATCACAGTTATCCAACACCGGTATCTGAATTTTACGGAAATAAAGCTGTCTATCTACTTATCTGTCTATCTAGTAAAATTATTATTACTTAGGCATTGATCTCGAGAAAAGAACCTGATTGTTTATCAAATTGGAAGTGTACTTAGGGTGTTGATTAGCAGCTACCTACTTCTAATAAGAACGCTTGACGTTAATTAAAAGATTTTTTAAGTGAAGTAAGCGTTTTGGTTGACTTTTTAAAAAAATAATTTATAAAAACATTAAAAACTTTGTTTGCTAATAAAAAATCACGCAAACTAGCCAATGTAACAGAAGTCCGATTAAATTATGACCCAGCAAAACGTACTGAAAGAAAAGGTGAGACGCAAATCAGAAACAAAATTTAAATTAATTAAATGTAAGAATTTTTACAAATGCAATATCCCCAAACGGTGGGTGGAGATCTACAGGAAAAGGCTTAGTAATTTGGTTAGTTTTTATTGTATGCATTTGTTATCTGTTGTATTGCGTCATTAATTTGGCAGCAACAAAATACAACGTGTTTCTAACCAAAAATAGCGAAGCAACCTATGAATTTTTAATACTTGCGACATAGCAGTCGGCTTTATTTCCATCGAAAAAGGAACGTCAGTCTCGGCCTTTTATTTGTTAATTTCTAGGTCTCCAAGTTATTTCGATCGATATAGATTTTAAAAGGAACCAATCGCTTATCCACTTTTTTTAACGTCTCAGTGCGATAGAGTATTAATAAAATTTAGGACAAGAACCATATTCTTAATCCTTGTAATTTGAGATAACACAAACAGGTCGCATTTTTGAACCATAATGGCTTATTAAGAAATCACTTCGTGAGCGTTTGAAACGCTAACGTTTTTAAAACGTCGACAAGTCAGTGGCGCATCCAGGGGGCTGATTAAAAATTGGAAAATCTATACACAATTGGAAACCCAAACACAAAATTTTGACAATTAATTCAAGCACGACGCGTTTTCAATATATCATCGAATGGGGACTAGAAAAAAAAAACGGGCAAAACCTGACCAAAAAAAAAATCACTCACGGCTTTAATTGTTTCTTCGAGGTATCCGGATTTCTTCTTTCTGATCGGGTTTTACGAATCTTCTCGTCGCGCGACTTTTCACAAACTCGTCGCCGGTCGCATCTCTTGGTCGTCGGTCGCCCGAATTTTTCGAAAAATTTCACCTGACGGTCGACACCGGAAAACGTGTTACAGTTTACGGACGCAGAGAGGACCCCTCTTACATTTTTTTTTGTGCGGCCGAAGCTTTTTTTCTGCTCTCCGAGCGCCTGGTTCTAAAAGCGTCCGTACACGTTATCGTGGGACTTGAGACTGATCGCTCGCGCGTCTGGGAATAGCGCAATAAGCCGGTTCTCCTACCAATCGGAACACGTGGCCGCTTATCACCAAGACCAAATAATAATTCAGACGGAGACGAACTTGTCACGTTATGGACATGCCTCGTTCGCCGCCACGGTCTTCGGATAGAAATTGTTGCGTCAACCTGGTTTCAATCTCTCTCCCGAAATGGAATGCTTATCCCATAAAAACCACGCCCAGGTTACGAAAGGGCTTAAGGCATGGTTTTACTGGTGATGAACAAGAATTAATTAGGAAATCAAACCAAAATCGAAGTTTTATCCATAATAATATTTTGCAAAAAAACAGGAAATCATATGTCAGGAAAAGATTCAACATATTCTTACAGACGAACCATATCGTCAACTTAAAAAAGATCCTACGTCATCTATGGAACGGATCCTTAAATCTATCATTAAGGCTTTTTGTCCATCAGACTCCGTCAAAAAATCTGTCACCTTTCATGATTATAAAATTCCTCGTCGCTACGGACTCCCAAAGATTCACAAAGAAGGATTACCCCTTCCACCTATTCTCTAGCAAAATATCTACCTTCCTTATTAAAACCCTTTACAAGGAAAACTGGCAGTTTCGTACTTAATTCCTTCCGCTTCATTGAACAAATAAAAAGCATTACATTAGATACACATATATTCTGGTTAGTTTCGACCTAGAATCTCTCACTATCATTTCAGATATATTAAAATCCGAGAATCTGAATCTGAATTTTTCTTATAACCGTGAAATATTTGAACAAACGTTGGGAACAGCTATGGGTCCTCCAATACCTCCAGTCATCGCGAATATATTTACGGAAGACTTTGAGAAGGAAGCTCTCGACACCTTCCATCTAAAACCAAAATTATGGACACGCCACGTCGATTATGCTTTTGTTATTTGATGATTGATGGTGATCAATCCCTAGTAGATTTTCTTGGACATTTAAACTCTATATACCCTAATAATAGAAATGAAATAGAAACTAATAACAACCTCCTATTCTTAGATATTCTTATCAATAGAAAATCAGACCTAACATTGGGTCATTTTGTTTACAGAAAACCTACGCACACAGACCGACACCTTAATGCATTGTCACATCACCATCCGGCCCAAAATCATCGGTTATCAACTCTCTTGTTTACAGAGCCGTAGAACTATTTCAGCCCAAATCATTGAACCCAGAATTAAAACACCTTAGCTCTGCTCTTCTCTCTAATAATTTCCATATTAAAGATCTTAAGCGTTTTATCACAAAATATACTTCACCCTTTAACCTTCCAATAGCAATGAAACCGAAAGCAATGTCACACTTGCCATTGTTGTTCTTCTTTATATTCAAAACATTACTGACCACATATCAAAAGTTCTAAAGAAATATAACGTCAAGATTTGCCATGCGTCCAAAAATCTCTCAACCTCTTCGATCCGTGCCAGGAGTTTCATTCCATGTGTATGCGGCAAAGAAGACACCGGACGAAAAATATCAACTCAAAGAACATGAATGAGCCTTAAGACTAAGACAAATAAACTCATCAGCAGTTGCCGAACACAATCACATGTAATCAATTCTTCTACCAACGAAAAATCCTAAAATTCTAACAGCGACTCAGATCTCTACCTGTCACCAATATGGGAATCAGTCATCCGAGACGGTGTTTATGCCCCTCCTCAAACTGCGCCCTCCTCAAACAATATAAAAGCTCTGAAGAAGCCAACAGGATGATTGCCGAAACGTTAGCTAGTTCGACTCAACAAAAATCGACGCAGAAGGAATCCAAAAGTTTTATAAAAAGTACCAGGGTTTTAAATTTGCTTTGAAAAGCCCCATCTTCTCATTTAAAAAAGGACAGTTCTTGTAACCGGTCATCTTTGTAACATACAGTGAACTTCGGTTATAAAGTGCCCTCTAGGGACCAGAAAATGAGTATTCCATAAGTGTAATTACACTATAAAAAAAACAAAAATATGTAGGTACGTACATATTTTTATTTTATATACAAATAGAAAACTAATAAACATTAATATAGGTACTAAAAAATGAAAGAAAGTAAACTACTTAAATTAAAAACTTATCTCTCTATATAAACTCTACAACATACAAGTAAGAACACATACTTTATTTTTACAAATTTCTTCACTTCTCAACCTTCCAGGACGCTTACATAATATCTTCAGTTACATTATCAGTAGGTTGTTAAAAATTCGTAACAATTTTTGCCGCACAAAGCGCTTCAGAATAACTTGGTACTTCGTCTTGTTGAACATCATCGTCGCTTTCGTTACCACAGCTTTGAGGATCATTTGGCTGTAAAACTTCAGTAATAATATCATTATCCGTTAATAACTCCATTGTTATTAACCTCCCAGTTATCGTGCTCTCTTCACTGCACACGGGAAACGTTATTATCCCAACAAGTTAGAGGCCCAGGCCACTGTGCGAGAGCACAGAATTGACGCCTACTGCTAAGATAAATTGTTGAAAAATAGGCGACAAAATCGATATTACCAAGTTTAGTGGACAAAACTATCACCAATGGATGTTCCAGTTGAAATGTGTTGAAAAGCTGTATGGGTTTGTTGAAGGGACAACTTCAATCCAGTTGTATCTCAGGCAGATGAACTCCACTGGTACAGAAGCGACACACAAGCCATGTTCTTGATATCGTCAGGTATGGATTTCGATCAGATTGCACTAATCGAAAAATGCGAATCCTCGAAAGAAAAGACTGATAAGCTGGACTCGATCTATCGATAGAAGTCTCAGGTAAATAAACTTATGAAACATGAAAAGTTCCATTATTACAAAATGGGCCCTAGTGATACAATAGCAAAGCGTGTTGCCAGAATTGAGGATCTGGCACAACAAATCAAAGATTGTGGTAATTATGTTAGTGATTCCGCCATAATTGCAGAAATTTCGAATACTTTGCCACAGAAGCCTGATTATCGATGGACGAAAACAAAGAAACTGTGAAGAACTTGACAGTATGGAAGAGCAGGAGGCACTAGCCGCTGTGACATTAAATACCAAAAAAGAGACACGGAATACAAGTAAAAAGAAAAGATTTCAATTCAAGTAAACGAGGACACAGGCTAAAAGATTGTAAGGCTCCCAGGCAGCAAAATGAGAAGAATGTCGACCATAGCTCTAAGAAACACTAAACAGCCCTTAGCATTGATGTACAGGAGTTGAATCTAATTTTACGCGATGATCATTGGATCCTGGATCAATGGATTTTAGTGACATTCCTTCCTATGTTTATATGGGAAAGAGTAAGATTCAAAAGCTTATAGAAGGAGAATGGTATGACTCTATTATAAACAATAAACATAAAATAAAATCAACAGACCTAGGAAAACACTTATTACCATAAGCAGTTTTGTCCAATAAGAAGATGGTGATAATAAAGCAAGAGAATTACGCAAAAATTTACAAAGGCTTTGTATAAAGAAACTTTCAGAAGACTCAGATTATTGATAGGACTTAAAGTGTATGAGGATGTCAATTAAAAAAAAACTTTAGTGATCTGATGTAGTTATATTAGAATTCCAACAAGTTAAGAAGTCTTACTTCATTGCACAACAAAGCTGAAGACAACTTTGCGATGTCTATATTATGCTCCAAGCATATTTCTATATGGTTTCTATTCACCAGTGCAAAGCTTGATCTAATATCGTCCTAACCTAAACATTCTTAGCCACAAGGGCGTTAAGTCAAATTATATTGCAGACCAATTGGCTAACTCTATTTTAGAGAGTTCCTCCCTCAATTTAAAAGTAATATTTGGAAGGCTTCAGGTATAGTACTGAGGGCCATGGGACGGCTTAAGAGAACCAATTATAGTTCACACTTTGATTCGCCTCCTACTAAACCTTTGTTTCATATGCTTCTATTAAACAGGAAAAAAGTCACTATTTTGTCGCTACATTGCTGCTTGCCTGCCCAGCTAGGTTGTTAAGCCTAGAATTGTGATTGTGGTGAATTTGGTGACCTGATTTATGTGCTGTTTGATTGTCCTATTCATTAAGGCCACTCGCAAGTTAATATGGTTTATTTATTAGTGACCTTTTTCATACAACACTGCTTTAGTAATACTTCTCGCAGGTGCTTTGAAATTTTGGTTGATCGCCATATTCCATCATTTCCACCATTTCCACATTTCCTGTGTTGCAGGCTCACATACATAAAATTAATTAAATTTATTTGCTTCATTGCGCAGCCAAGTTGAAGAGAAAGAAGTTTTGCAGTGTCTACATTACCAATGAAGAGCTTCATTTAATCTCATCAAAAATCAAAAATCTGAAACAAACAGGCTAATTAAGGTTTGCTCAATGGCACGGCAAAATTGTGTAGAGAAGTACATTGTCTACATTATCCTTCAAGTACCTCTTTAGAGAACGTGCCTTGTAAGAAGAAGATAATGAAAAACAGACAATTTTGCTGGTGTTGTATAAACGCGATCTTTCACATATCCCAACCAAAAGAAATCTATTGGTGTTAAGTTACATGATCCATTTCTGTGGGTAATGATTATTTAAAAATTATTAGAGAATTTCTCGATGGTAATGCGGAGGAGCTCCGAAACCACATTTGTTGGATGTCAATGTTATCAATTTCTTGAAGAAGTTGAGGTAAATCATTCTGCAGAAAGTTTAAATAGCTAAGCCTATTAAGTGGTTCGCAAAAAAAAAATGGCTCAATAACTTTAACACACATTTAGTGACAAATGGTTTTGGTCAATTACCATTACTTGCGAAATAGCTGCATCGGAAAACATTATTTAAGACAAAAAATTGTTGTTCAAAATCATATGGTAGGCATCATATTTGTGTGTTCTACTGGTGCCGCTAATAGTACATTGGGATGGCCACTGACGTGGGGATTATCTTGAACTCACCGAGTACATAAATCATATCAATGTATTCAGCTTTTGGAAAATCCATACTTCGTTTTTTACTGACACCACAAGTTATTTATTCAGTTGTCAAGTAAAAATTTGGAAATATTGCTAAAGGTAAAATAAATCTCAAAGTATTAAAAATAGGTATGTGTCATGAAAGAAAATCGAGATTATCAAACACAAACATTCAAAACCAAATTTAAAAAATGTATTTTTGTATTTGTCACGCCTTTTTGAGTCACCCTGCTA